AATGATACCTTACACAAGTTTCTGAATGCTGTTCTTATGTTGGCCAGCCTGGCATATGCCGCTGATGTTATCCTCTTGATATGGGCTGCAGGAGACAGGTCTGGCGAGATATCAACCCTCAAGTCTCTTTCTTTCTCTGACTCTTGAAGTATTTCATCTCGCAGATGGTACCTTGTATCTGGCCTCCTGCTCTATACACCTATCTTCATTACATTACATTTGCTTGGGTTAAACTCTAACAACCATTTGTTTGACCATTCCTTCAGCTTGAATAGGTCTTCTTGAAGCCTCAAACAGTCCACATCTGTCTTAATCCTTCTTAAAATTTTGGCATCGTCCGCAAACATTGAGAGAAATGAATCACCCTCCGGGAGATCATTTACATATATCAGAAACAAGATAGGACCGAGAACAGAGCCCTGTGGGATTCCACTGGTGACTTCACGCCAATCCGAGGTCTCACCCCTCACCGTAACTCTCTGCTTCCTATTGCTCAGGTACTCCATTATCCACTGGAGCACCTTACCAGCTACACCTGCCTGTCTCTCCAGCTTATGTACCAGCCTCTTATGCGGTACTGTGTCAAAGGCTTTCCGACAATCCAAGAAAATGCAGTCCGCCCAGCCTTCTCTTTCTTGCTTAATCTTTGTCACCTAGTCGTAGAATTCCATTGTCAGTCAGGCAAGATTTACCCTCCCTGAATCCATGTTGGCGATTTGTCACGAAGTCCCTTCTCACGATCTTCTCCGTCACCTTGCATGGTATACAAGTCAAGGACACTGGCCTGTAGTTCAGTGCCTCTTGCCTGTCGCCCTTTTTGTATATTGGGACCACATTCGCCATCTTCCATATTTCCGATAGGTCTCCCGTCTCCAGTGACTTACTATACACTATGGAGAGTGGCAAGCAAAGTGCCTCTGCACACTCTTTCAGTACCCATGGTGAGATCCTGTCTTGACCAACAGCCTTTCTAACTTCCAGATCCAGCTCAGTGACCTCACCTTGTTCTATTGTGAAGACCTCCTGGAACCTCTTGTTGAGTTCTTCACACACCTCTTTGTCATTCTCTGTATACCTGTCCTCGCCTGTTCTAAGTTTCATTACCTGTTCTTTCACTGTTGTTTTCCTTCTGATGTGACTGTGGAGTAGCTTTGGTTCGGTCTTGGCTTTGTTTGCCATATCTTTTTCAAAACTTTTCTCTGCTTCTCTTCTCACCCTGACATACTTACTCCTGGTTCTCTGGTATCTCTCTCTGCTTTCTGGTGTTCTGTTATTCCGGAAGTTCTTCCACGCCCTTTTGTTCTGTTTCTTCGCTTCCATACATGCCCTATTATACCACGGATTCTTCTGTTGCTCCTCGGATTTTTCCCTTTTGGCTTGGATGAACCTGTTTACTGCCTCCTGACACTTTTGGGTAACATAGTCCATCATATCTTGTACAGACTTATCTCTGAGGTCTGTGTCCCTAGGTATTTCCCTTAGGAAACTTCTCATCTCTTCATAATTCCCCTTTCGGTATACTAGCCTTTTGTTTCCTAGTTCTCTTTTGGGGAAGATAATTCCTAGCTCTACCAGGTACTCAAAGTTCAATACACTGTGATCACTCATTCCCAAGGGTGCTTCCATCTTAACTTCCCTTATATCCCATTCATTTAGGGTAAATATCAAATCAAGCATTGCTGGTTCATCTTCTCCTCTCATTCTTGTTGGTTCCTTGATGTGCTGGCTTAGAAAGTTTCTTGTTGCCACGTCCAGCAGCTTAGCTCTCCATGTGTCCGGTCCTCCATGCGGGTCTCTGTTCTCCCAATCTATCTTCCCATGGTTGAATTCTCACATAATTAGTAGTCCAGAGCCATTTCTGCTGGCAACAGAAGCTGGTAACAGGGTCTCAGAGGATACTGGAATGAGGGGCGGGGGATCCAGTGAAGGGGGAGGGACAGGGAGGGTATGGGGTGAAAGGGGAGGGAGGAGAGAGAGAGAGTGTGTGTGTGTGTGTGTGTGTGTGTGTGTGTGTGTGTGTGGTGTGTGTGTGTGTGTGTGTGTGTGTGTGTGTGTGTGTAATATTTATGTAAATAAATAATAATAATTATTATTATTATTATTTTATTCTTATTATTATTATTATTTTATTTTTATTATTATTATTATTTTATTATTATTATTATTATTATTATTATTATTATTATTATTATTATTATTATTATTATTGAGCGTTCTCGGGAATCCGGATTACATGTTGACGGTTTGTATGGAACCTTAGACGGTACCTTTACCATATAACGGCTGTTTAATTCACGGTATCGGGCAGTTACCGACCTCCCGCGAGTATTATATCCGGACTGTCATCCCCGCTCCTTGCAGGCCTCATTCATGAGGACATGAGGTGATCCAGCCTCATGGCCAGTTACTCACAGTCATAACTGAGAACTATGAGCAACGCAGGTTATAGGTAATATCATTGTCAGTAATCCAGTGAAGTTATTATTAGTAGAACAAGAGAGAGATATTATATGATACAGCACCATAGATAGGTGATACAGCGACATAGACAGAGGTGCCACTGATATTCGTCAGCTTTCATGCACCTCAAAAGTTGCTGCATGTTGAGACACGTTTTCTTCATATGGGCTGGGTAACTCAAGACAACTTAAGATAACGAAGATAACCCAATTGAGTTTATTATGCTCTCTCTCTCTCTCTCTCTCTCTCTCTCTCTCTCTCTCTCTCTCTCTCTCTCTCTCTCTCTCTCTGTCTCTCTCTCTCTCTCTCTCTCTCTCTATCTCTCTCTCTCTCTCTCTCTCTCTCTCTCTCTCTCTCTCTCTCTCTCTCTCTCTCTCTCTCTCTCTCTCTCTCTCTCTCTCTCTCTCTCTCTCTCTCTCTCTCTCTCTCTCTCTCTCTCTCTCTCTCTCTCTCTCCATCTCTCTCTCTCTCTCCTCCTACGCTCGCTGTCTCGGTCTCTCTTCTCTCTCTCTCATCTCTCTCTCTCTCTCTTCCATCTCTCCTCTCTCCTCTCTCTCTCCTCTCTCTCTCTCTCTCTCTCTCTCTCTCTCTCTCTCTTTCTCTCTCTCTCTCTTTCTCTCTCTCTCTCTTGACAGATGAGATGAGATGCGGGCCCTCATCTGTCATCAGCTCCTTTGCTTCCATACATTCCCTATTAAACCACGGATTCTTCTTTTGCTTCTCGGTTTTTTCCTGTCGGGCTGGGACAAACCTGCTTACAGCCTCCTGACACTTTTAGGTGACATAGACCATCATGTCTTGTACAGACTTGGTTCTGAGTTCTGTTTCCCATTGTATATCCCTTAGGAATTTATTGACCACTTTATAGTTTCCTTTCGGGATGCCAGCCCTTTGTTTCCCAGTTCTTTTTTGGGGGAGATAATTCCTAGCTCAACCAGGTACTGAAAGCTCAATACACTATGATCACTCATTCCCAACGGGGCTTCCAACTTAACTTCCCTAATATCCGACTCATTTAGGGTAAATATCAGATCAAGCAAACCTGGTTCATCCTCTCCTCTCATTCTTTTCGGTCCCTTGACGTGTTGACTTAGAAAGTTTCTTGTTGCCATGTCCAGCAGCTTAGCTCTCCATGTGTCTGGTCCTTCATGTGGGTCTCTGTTCTCCCAATCTATCTTCCCAAGGTTGAAGTCTCCCATGATTAGTAGTCTGGATCCGTTCCAGCTAGCCACAGAAGCTGCTCTCTCTATTATATTGATGGTGGCCATGTTGTTTCTGTCATATTCCTGTCTGGGTCTTTTGTCGTTCAGTGTGGGGTATATATGACTAATACTATAATTTTCTGGGAGGGGAGACAGGGGGAAGGGGAGGCAGGAGGGGGGACATGGTGGGAATGGGGGGAGGGGTAACAGGGTCAAAATGGGGTCAGGTGGGAGGGTTGGGTGAGCATTTGAGTGGGGGCAGTAGGGTGAGGGGAAGGGAGCGTTTATATGCAGAAAGGGGTAGTGGTGTTGCCCTCCCCTCTGGTGTTGCTGGGATGCTGGTTGTGGGTTCCCCTCTTGTCTCTGGTACTGTTTTGTTGGGGGCTGTGTTTCCTGGTTTACTCCTCTTTCCCTGCGCTTCCTCCTTGCCTCTGCTGCCCTGGCTCTCTCCTCGTTCGTCCTGTCCCTCTGCAGGAATACTTTTTTGTATTCCTCCACATACTGCAGATAACTCTTTCTTTCTAGAATAACCTTCTTCGCTGTCTCATTTGTAAACATCACCTTTACCTGTCGGTTTTTGTCCTTGTTGTACCAGCCCAACCTGAAAACCTTCTCAATGTTTTGTTCAGCCCCTTCTATCTGTAACCCCTTCAGTATCCCATGTACTGCCTCTCTGTCCTTGCTATTCCATACCTGCCTATTGAATCCTTCCTGTTCTTTGATGCCTTCAACTACCACAGATCTTTTCCTTTCCAACAGCTGACTGGTGCACCTTGCTGCTTCCTGGGAGGTTGCTGCTTGCATGGCTACCTCCCTCACTGTGTCCATTGTTTCTGAGCTCTTTCTCAGTATTTCCACAAATGTTTCAGGTACAGAGGCATTTCCTTCCAATGCAACATACCAACTTTCCCTTTGGATGATAACCTGATGCTCAGCCTCTTTATTTTTTTCTGTGAGGGATTTGATCTCCTACCTTGCTGATGTCAGCTCACTTTGCAGGTTGTTAATTGTAATCCTCATTTCATGTATCTCCCTCCTAAATTCCTTCAAAACTTGTACTAACATTTTCTTCGTTTTATCACTTTGATTTTTCCCCCGAGTCCCTGTTGTGTCCTGCCATTTTGTCCCTTTCCCTGATATGTTTTGATACGGTGGATGACCTGATGCTTGAGTGTTTTCGTTCGTTCAAAATATGAGTGTTTTCGTTCATTCCTTGGATTAGTGTGTTTGTCTGTCTGACCACAACTGTCACTCTAACTAGTGAACTTTAGTGGGTGGCAAAGTACGGTAATTATGAGGTAAATTGCAAAGCAATTTTAATAACGTAACAATTGTTAGAGACGTGAGGATGGACAAGGAGCTGGTATATGGGGGAAGGAGTTCACAACCACATGCGCCATCGGGGGCATGCGACGACCCTGCACAAAGCAACAAGACTTTGGGATAATATGGCGATTCTGATGTACTCTGAGAGGAGGTATTGTAAGTGTCTTAGACTGGGAGAATAAGACTGGTTCCTACGGTCACCACACACACTGACACCATTATTGATTTTTCATACCTCTATTATTGATTTTACATACCACACGCCTCTATCCCATTCCATCCCCACCCCTACAAACTATCCGGTCTTCTTATCTGTCGTCCCCAATAGTACTGTGTCCAGGGTTTATGGGTAGTGGGGGGTCGGGGGTCGGTCAGTGGAGGTTGCGTCCCCCCCCCCCTTATCCCCCCACAACTGAAGAACAAAGCAACTGGTGCATTCTCAATAGGCTATTAATCTGCTTTTTCAGAAAATTCAAAATATTAACCACAGCGATTCATCTTTTGTTTCTGTGGTAACTGTTTCAATAACTCTACTGTTACGAGAAAAAGTAGCGTTAGTTCCGCAATTGTTATTAATTTGGATGCAATTGAAATATAGTGTCTAAACAAATTAACGCAATGATCTTTTCCATATATTTTATATTCCGTAATTTGGGTTTCATTATACATCGTCTCAGCTAATTACAATAAATATTTTTCCCAAAAAATGTAAAATCAATATGTAATTTAGTTTTGTGTTCATGGGACCGGCAGAGCTTGAAAAACACATGAGGCGTAAATTGATGTTATCGTAAATATATATCTGTTTTCGATAATGTAAAAGGTAAATGTTTTTTAAATATTGCATTATATCCGATATATATACTAAAGAAGAACTTGTCAGTTTGCTTGAAGTTGAGTAAATTTAGAGGATGAGTGAATTAAACAAGTCAAGTAAATTAATACTTATTAGAAAAGACGTTTGTGAACAGAAATCCAAGAGAAGCTAAACAAGTCCCGAAACCCCATGGAGGTATCCCCCTAGGGTACTTAAAGAATACAAGGAAGGTCTCACTTTAACACTTTCGTGCCATCTTCACTTGGATGTACGGGCGGTTTATTTAAGCGCTTGTCGGATCACGACGTACATTTACGGTCCGTGTTATAGTGGGTATATACTACTCGATCGACTTGGGGTTTGTATGAATATGTTTGCCATTAAATTTCCGTTTTCTCTAATAGGCACAGTGCCTATTTGAGAAAACAGCAATGTATTGTAACTTAGAGGAGAGACTATTGAGTTGGTGACACAACGAGGGTAATCGCCCACTCCACACACTCTTGTGTTGGCCGCGATCATGATTCTACATTTATATGCATATGTCTGTGTAGAGAATTTTATTGCGAGTTCAGCGATATAAAATTTAACGCTGTAGGACTAATGTGGAGCTGACAACAAACAAAAGAGTATGAACATTTTGTAGCTGTTTGGGCGTACAGCGAGACAGCAAGTGATCTACGTTTTTATTTATTTCGTGATGGAATAGCTAATGCTTTGGTTACATTTTATACATATGATCTTGTAGAGAATTTTATTGCCAACACATTGATACCAAAAGGAAATACGTAGCTCGAGAATTGGTGTCAGGAAAGTGAAAAGATTACACACTGTTTGGTGTTTACGCTCATGAGAATAAAACGCCGCCCGCACAATGCGCAGAGTTTTTTCGCGGGTGCCAGGTGCATCAAAGTGTTAATTAAAGTAGGACACTGGATACTCAATTTCCTGTCGAACAGAACACAAGGAGTAACAGTCAATCAAATAAAATCGAGTCCAAGTGCAGTTAAAAGCTCCGTACCTCAAGGTACAGTCCTTGCACCGCTACTGTTCCTTATTGTCATAGCAGATATAGACAAAAATACACGTCATAGCTTCATGTCATCCTTTGCAGATGACACAAAAATCAGCATGAAAATTACCTCTGCTGAAGACAATGAAAATTACAAGCAGATATCAACAAAGTTTTCGATTGGGCAGCAGAAAATAACATGATGTTTTACAGTGATAAATTTCAGGTACTCAGGTACGGCAAAAATGAGGACCTGAAACATAATACAGGGTACAAAACACAATCGAATCTTCCCATAGTAGGAAAACAGCATGTAAAGCATTTGGGAATAATGATGTCCGACGATCTAACCTTTAGGGAGCATAAACAAGCAAATATTGCGTCAGCCAGGAAAATGATAAGATGAGTTACGAGAACTTTCAAATCCAAGGATCCCATCACAATGGTTGTACTCTTCAAGTCAATTGTGCTGTCCCGTCTTGAGTACTGCTCAGTACTCACTTCCCTCTTCAGAGCAGGAGAGATTGCTGAAATAGAGGGAATACAGAGAACATATACGGCACGCATAGACGAGATAAAGCACCTAAATTATTGGGATCGTCTCAAAGCTCTCCAAATGTACTCAGTAGAAAGGAGACGAGAGAGATACCAAATAATATACACATGGAAAATACTGGAGGGCCAGGTCCCGAATCTACACAGTAAAATAACAACATACTGGAGTGTACGATATGGAAGAAAATGCAGAATTGAACCAGTGAAGAGCAGAGGTGCCATAGGCACAATCAGAGAACACTGTATAAACTTTAGAGGTCCGCGGTTGTTCAACGTCCTCCCAGCGACTTTAAGAAATATTGCCGGAACAACCGTAAACATCTTCAAGAGAAGACTGGACTGTTTTCTAAGAGAAGTTCCGGATCAGCCGGGCTGTGGTGGGTATGTGGGCCTGTGGGCTTCTCCAAGCAACAGCCTGGTTGACCAAACTCTCACTAGTCGAGCCTGGCTTGGGGTGTAGAAGAACTCCCAGAACCCCATCAACCAGGTATCAACTAGGTATGGTCTTACTTAACTATTAGTCTGTCTCTTCATATTCTGCCAACGAAAAAATCCACATCCGCCAACAAAAAAAATCAAAATCCACGAACAAACAATTTCAAAATCCGCCAGTAACAAATTCTAAATCCGGAAAAAATCCAAACCTGCCAACAAAAAATCACAAATCCTCCAACAGAAAAGTTTAAATCCTTATATTATGTTAGGTTATATTAGGTTAGATTAGGCGTGTTGGAGAGGACTGGTGTACACCTAAGCTCTGGTACACATCACTACTGCCAACAGTTATGGGACCGATAAATCACTATATAACATTTCTTTCGCTTTTTCCTAGTCAGCACAGTAGACTCGTAACTGATAGGTCCTGGGTTCGAGTCCTGGACACAGCGAGAAGCTTGGGCACTTTTCCAATGCCTCTGTTCAACAAGCAGTAAATATATATACCCTAGAGTCAGCCAACTGTTGTGGGAGGCATCCTGGGGCATACCCTAGTTCCCTTCCCATGGCTCATGATAAACATTACCCTATAGTTTCCCTAGAACACAATTCGCCAATCGGTTAACAACCAGGTAGCAAATTACTGCTGGGAAAACAGAAGCGCGAACGATTAAAGATTGGAGCCCAGTCAATCTTCCCTGGCAAGGACTTGATCGCAGATCAGATCACCGGCGAGGCGGGGTGCGCGTGTGTTACCACCGCAAGCCTGATTCATATTGCACGCTGCCAGCTTCAAAATGTGTTGACATAATTAAAAATTGTATTTTGTGTAATCGAACATAAATATTTATCATTTTATATAATTATTTTATTGAAAGAGGAGATTATATTCATACCATTCACGAAATTATATATTTAGTGTAATTTAGTTACACTAAATATAGAGTAATTCTGATAAGGGGGGAAGGTAATATTTTATTTAATATAAATTGTAGCCACTTAATGACCGCGGTTTCTGGCAACTTATAATTATGCAAATTAAATGATTATATCACTGGCAATTACAAGTATTTTTAGTGCTTTTGTGATTATTATTTTTATACCAATTTGCACTTTTTATATATATGTATTATATATTAATATTGTGGAAGAGATAGCTCTTTTTGTGGGGGTGTTTGGGTGTTATCATGGAAACGAGGCATAAATCACATATGTATGATAACATCTTCCACAACAACCAATACCTGAAAGGCCTGGTTCCTGCTTTTATGGAAATACTTTCGTATCTACGACTCTTGTAGAGAATAAGTTTAATACTTTTATGTGTTCCTTCGTCTAGACGTGGCTCTCTCCAGCCTCCACACCCTCCACACACCCTGCCCACCCCCACCGACATCTTGCCCTGCCCCGCCTTTACAGACGCGGATTCCGAAAGTTCGCCAAATGATGATAATTAAATAAATATCCCGAAATGATGGGAGTCCTTGTCCATTACCTTGTGTCTCTCGTGGGAGGGAGGGAGAGGCCAATTCCTAGTGAGGTTGTGGGATGGAAGTGATGAAAACACAGATAAACAAAGAAGTAGGTAGTGAGAAATGAGAGGAAGAAAGGTCAAGAGATTAAGGGAGAGAGGAGAAGGAAGAGGAATAGCCGGAAAGAACGAGGGAGGACAAGGAATGGAGGTAAGGACAGAGAGTAGGAACAACAAAGCGAGTCGTGGATCATCACACTTCACATTCTCTCTACTCCTTCGTTCATTACATGCTTCTCCCTCCTTTATTCTCTCTCTCTCTCTCTCTCTCTCTCTCTCTCTCTCTCTCTCTCTCTTCTCTCTCTCCTCTCTCTCTCTCTCTCTCGTCTCTCTCTCTCTCTCTCCTCTCTCTCTCCTCCTCTCTCTCTCTCTCTCTCTCTCTCTCTCTCTCTCTCTCTCTCTCTCTCTCTCTCTCTCTCTCTCTCTCTCTCTCTTTCCATCCTCCCCTCCCTCCCTCCCTCTCTCTACTGTCTTCCCGCTCTCTCCCCTTATCTTCTACCTTTCCCACTCAAAGGCCCATTTTCCTCTCTTTATTTCAAATTATTATATCTCTACTTCTCCTAGCCGCTATCTTTCCCTCTCACTTCCATTACCTTTCCCTCCCTTCTCCCGTCTTCCATCCATCCTTTACTCACCATTTCCTCTTCCCCCTTTCCCTACCCCCCACACATTAACTTTCACCAGTTTCCCTTCCTCCTCGCTAACTGCCTTCTCCTTATTACTTTCTTTGGTGAATTGAATACCTCGCTTCTCTGCCAGTTTTAATTATCATTATTATATTATTA